TGACCTGTTGGAAAGTAGCTCTGCCGAGAAGGACCTGGGAGTGCTGGTGGACAACAAGTTAAACATGAGGCAGCAGTGTGCCCTTGTGGCCAAGAAGGCCAATGGGATCCTGGGGTGCACTAGGCAGAGTGTTGCCAGCAGGTCAAGGGAGGTGATCCTGCCCCTCTCCTCAGCCCTGGGGAGGCCTCCCCTGGAGTCCTGTGTCCAATTCTGGGCTCCCCAGGACAAGAGAGACTGGTGCTACTGGAGAGAGTCCAACGGAGGGCTACAAAGCTGATGAGGGGACTGGAGCATCTCTCCTATGATTCTGTGATTCTGTGATCCAATCTTACCCTGGCTACTAATAATCAGCGTCAGATACACACACATACAGACACATCCTCATTCTTTCTCATTTGCTTGCTTGCTCGCTCCTGCGAGCTTTGTAAAAACCTACACCTACGTGAATAGTCCAGTTCTGGCAATCTGTGCTTTGCTTTCTTCCAGTAGCTAATAACAGTATTCACAGAAACACTAATTTCTGTTCTGTCCAAGACAAGATTTCACACAAGATCATATAGATTTACTCTTTAATGTAGTAACATGAGGTCATTTGATTTTATTTTTCATTCAGTAAGAACCATCAGATCATGATCACAGTGAAAGATAAGTAGTTTTAGTTGGAAGAATTTGATCTGGTAAATGATTTCTTCAGAATCTGAAATTAAATGCTTCCTTCCTGCTCCCTCTAGATGCTCTCTTTTCAGCTGTGAAGAATTTTACAGAAATCGCTGCTCAGTTTCATGAGAGTCTGCAGCAAATAGATATCAATAAGTAAGTTGAACAATTTTTCTTCCAACCAAGTAATCTGTAGTCTTCTGGACTCACAGAGCACAGTCTTCACTTGCATTTAGTTCCACAAATAATCTTGGTGACAGGTAACTGTCAGTCATTTGGATTCCCTATGAAGTCTTGTCTTGAAAGATCTGGTTACTCAATGAAACAAAATGTAAAAGTGTTGAACTAGTGGACATCTGAGACACTGCAGAGACTGGGAATCTAGCTGTGTTGACTCTGAAGAGTGTCCAAGCTAATGATTGTCAGTTCTTGACAGGTCTTAGCTCAGAAGCAATGCCAGGAGCATACATGAATGTGACTAGCTGTTGGTCAGCATGAGGAGAACCAGCTCAGGTGTGTCAATTCCTGCAAGTGCCGAAAACATCCTAGGTTTTATCACTGGATTATCATTAAAGAAAAAATGTAGACTTAGTATTTTCGGTTGTCAGCACTCTGTAATTTTGAAGATATTGGTACTAAGTGATGCAGAGGATAACTATACCATGACTGTAGTCTTGTCAGGCTTTTTGACAAGCTTTACAGAAATTCTATGCACCACCTTTGCCAAAAGTCCTCATTAGCTTTTGACTCGATTCTTAATTTTGTCTCTGTAGGCCATGCCCGTAACAAGAAAGCAAACTTCCTCTACATATGTTTATTTATAGTTACATTTCTTGGGAAGAATCAGATTTAGCCATATGCTTACCCATATGGAAGAGTAGGTGAGAATAAGAGCCATCTTTCTCTGGTGGCAACTTTAAAGATAAATGAACTAACAATAAGTTCCTAATGGATAGACATTTATATGGGCTTCGTAGTTATAGTGCTTTTATACTGCATTATATTACTTCAGAAAGGCTCATTTAGATGAGCAGAGAATTTGGCTTTATAAGTAGAACTCTACAGTTATTTAGCCAGTTTCTGTTTTATGTTCCATTTACAAATTTCTCTGTCCTCTCAGATCTCTTCTGTCAGTTATCAGAAAGTCTATATATTTGATTTACCTTGTAAATCTCGATCTATTTATTTTTCTAAAATATACTAAAAATATATCACTAAAATATACTATATACCACTAAAATATATCAGCAGACATAGATGAAGTTTCAAAATAAATATAGAAGAAAACACTTTACTGTTTACAT